TTATCATGATTTATCTTCGAAAGACTATGCAAAACAATTAGATTAGACTGAATTTTAACTGATTTTGTTATGTTATTGATACATTGAAATAAAGTGATTGCATCTAAAAATCCAAATTTTAACACGTCTAACAAATGTTAGTACCATTCATTTATCTTAGTCGAAAATACATAACTTTTACTTCTTTCTAATAATAATAAATACTTCATTCTACAATTCAATTAAATTTATAAAATTAATCAAATTTAACTTTATTTAATTCAGTATGTTTCAATTTTTAAATATAAATCACTAAATATCATGTAAAAATGGTATTATTTCAATGAATTACGAGTTTAAAAAATTATTTTGTTTTCCTTTTGTTTTATTTAATCGTGCAATTTAAGTTATTATATTTAAACATCTTCATAAAATCTGTTTAAAATAAAAAAGATATAAAAAGTGTCGAAAAATAACAAATGAACGAGAGAGAGAGAGATATAGAGAGGGAGAAAGACATACAGACAGAGATAGGAAGAAATATAGAAAAATCCGAGAAATAAGAAGAAAAATAATTACTACTACTTGAAATGAACAACACTAGTAAAGTTACTTTTAAGGTAATGCTGTATCATGCTGGAATTATTGTTCGTTAACGACTTTGTTCAATGAATGAGGGAGGGAACGAAATTTATAAAAATGATGAACATGGAGAGAGAATAGTCTCCATAGTAATGAGGTCATATGAATAACCGAGACTTCTTTGTAAAGAATTAAGGAAAGAAAGAATAAGACAATATGTTCTATGTCGCATACACCATAGCAAAAGCAACGATTTGCTAATTAATACGTTTGACCCAAATATATATTATCTTAATTAAATATAATTATAAGTTTGTTACTTGAAACTGATTCTTTAAATTATTTATATAAATATTGAAATCTTAATCCCTAAAATAATTATTACACAAAAATAATCGTAAATATGTATATTTTATTAATTAATAAATTAATAAATTCGTTTATTTAATAATAGTTATTAAAATGTTAATAGTTTTATGAGCAAACATTATGTAGCTTGATTAAAATATAACAAATCAGGAATAAGATAGGTACAAAGCTTGTAAGAACTTCTCACTTATCTCAGTTTTATATATAGAGCATAGTAGTACCAAGAGTAAAAGCATTGAAAAAAAATTCGAAAATGAGAAATAATATACATTTCATAATAAAGTATTATACATGGAAGTAATATTTTTTCTTGTCAGTATATTCTTTACAAATCATGAAAACTATGAACGTTACAAATCCATTTATTATCAAAATGTATCAGTTAATGCTTTTGGATAAAGCTATGCTTTAATGTGCAAAAGCCATTTCTCTTAATGTACACAAATAAGCACTTTTTCGATTCTATTATTGCGTATCCGAGAATGAAAGAGGTGGGAAATGAAGATATATTTTTCAGTGAATACGAACTGCTTCCGAATTAAAAAAACTGTAGGGTTCCTTTTACGCACAAGACAGTGGTATATATATCATGCGCCTCCTTACATTGTGTATTACGTACAAATGTAATTTCTTACTTGTACGCACGCAAGTAAGAAAGAATGAATACCATTTCACCTAACCTCATTATTTTCCGGGCGCAACGGGCTTCCTTTCAGTTTCTCGCTGTGGTAATCGCATTATCGCGCTCATCACTAGAAGAACGGTTCTATCATTATCTGGTCCTATCTCTCGTCGTGAAAATGCTTCTTTCCTAGAGACACGCGATGAAAGTTAACTTTGGTAGAAAATTTTTTTTCTCCTTGTCCTCTCGTGTCGTACATTTTTTCTATTCACCCT